TTATTTTTGTCCCCATCACTGTTAGATAGGATTACAGACCAAATAATAAGTGTCTTCTCATTTTTCAAACACACAGAACTTTCCAATAGAAAAGCACACACCTTGGCTGTGGCAGAATTCACCAGATCCACCCGGGTGTGAGCCTTCCGCAGCACGTGGTGACTCCCAGAAGAGTTGGTGAAAATTTCCACTCCATCAAGTCCCATCTCAATGTGAGGGCTGTCAAAGCAAAAGGCACAAAAATAAATCACTATTGTGCTGTGAAAACGGCAAATGTCATTAAAAATCACTGACAAACAGAAACATTTATGTCACTGTCAGTTTTCTGCATGTCTTAGCTCAAACAAGGATAGGGCTTTCAAAAATATCTGTTTTCTTGCATTGCCCAGCTCTTCTGTCAAAGACCAGCAGCGGCTGCAGAGGTCAGGAGGGCTCTTGCTCACTCTGTTCTAAATAAAATGCCTTCTACTCTATAGAAGGCCAGATCTCAGAGAAAGAGAGCATAACATAATCTTGGTCTGAAAGGGTAACATGGATATACACTGCAAAGTCAGTTGTCCCATTTTCCTTGTCTCTTAGTAAATCCAAAAACAGAACTACAAGGAGAAGATTTTTACTGCTTTTTTTTCTTTTTCCAATGTCATAAGAAAGGAATACTAAAAACAAAAATAAATCACATCTTCAACACACCACATCTTCTGCAGTTACAAGGAAATCAAAGTAACTGGGAGATTTGGAAAAGTATCAGGAATGTGAGCACAAGAGTTACCTGTCATTTATTTCCTTAGGTCACTCTTTTCATTCTGCTTGTTTTTGGTATTTCTCCCCTACCTTCTTGTTTTGAGTTGATTTAGTTTAACAACCAACATTTCTCTGCCATCCTGCACTTAGCCTAATGAGGTCTTTCCCATGATGTATCTATTGCTCCTAATTATATTTTATCTTACTGGCACTTTCTGAAAGATAAATTACATAGAAGAATAATAAGCAGATCTCTTCAAACATTTATTTCATGCAGCTCCAGGGTATGTTTTAGATTACTTTTTATTTCCTCTTCTCCTTTACCTGTTTGGTGCCCAGAGTTCTTCACATATTTCTGCCCCTAGGCAAGTATCTTTGGTTGCTAGCACTGCATCCCCAAAAGGAACAGTTTCCTGAGGAAAAACAAGAACATTCTTACACACATGCAGTAGAACAAGCTGTTCAATTCAAAAACTTGAACTATAAATCTTAAGAAAATATAAAAATTGAGTGCTTACTTATGTGAAATTAGTGACACAATATCAATCACATTATACCTTCTTTCACTTTATACCAAGTCAGATTAAAAAAAAAAACGAAAAAATTCTGAAATGCAAATTTCTGGACTGATGGAAATTTCATGTTTTAATTTCAGTAGTATTCAGATGCAGTGCTTTGCTTAAGGACAGGTATTAAACAATCTACAAAACAGAGACTGTCTGTTGCTAGGAATCACACTCATGCTTTAGTGGGAACTAACATAAATTTTAGATTCTGAGCAAATAAGGTTTAAATGATTTTTAATTTAATTTTTTTTAACCTAAAAACACATACTCAATTCTAGTCTCAAGCACAGGTAAACCTAGTACCAAAATTGTGCAAAATATGGCCATCAAGGTTCTGTATGTACAAATAACTGAGGCAGATTTAAATTTACTTGCTTTCCTGCCACATAGTAACATAAATAATGTTAAATTATGCTCTCATTTAATGCAACTTAGAACCACCACTGAAACATATGAATCTACATCACGACTGGCAGCAGAATTTTGGAGACTAGAGTTTTTAATTGCTGAATCTGGAAGATGCTAAATTAAAAAAGAAAAAAACAGCTTACCTGTCCAGTCACTTCCTGAATGATCCTGGGCAGAAAATATTCCTCCACATGCCTAAATCAAGTTAAGAGATTGTGAATACATAATTACATAAATCACAGCATAAAAACTGGTTCTCATCTCACTTTTTAACACTGGTTAAAGAAACCCTATTGAAGTTGTACAGGGCAGTGTGTGTTTAAAAAATGAAAAAAAAAACCCCTTGATATTTTCTGTGGAATTAATCAGAAATGCTAACATTTTAAGATAGCAACATCTGTGCTTCAGAAAGGCAAGGTAAGCCATGCCCCATCCTGGCTAGAAAGCAGACCTAACAATGAACACACCATGCAAGACAAATGCCAGGTGGAAGTTTCTCTTTTTGCAGGGTTACCGCACGAGCAGCACAGAACCAGCTGGGGCTCAGAGGAGGGATCAGAAGTGCTTTGCTGAGACCCTGGAGCTGGAAACATTCCCTGACTACAAGAGGAGTGCACAGCATCTGAGATGAGTGCCAGGAGTGTTCTGCAGCATCATAAGGTAGGCAGCTTTCATTTAATGCAGAAGTTCTGACAGAGCTCATCCATTTCAGTGTTTGCCAGTTCAGTTCTGGGATGCAGCATTCAGGAGACAAACACAGCCCCTCCAGTCCTGAGCTGGCTGTTCTTAGAAAGCACACACCAGGAAAATGACACTTTACACTGGCTGTAGGACCAAGCAGCCCCACTTTTTTCCTCCAGCTCAGCAACTCAGAGTTTGACTGCTCAATAAACTTCCTAACCAAGCTGCAACCACGTAGCTTGGCTGACTCTGTCCTGCTGCTCTCCCTGTAGCAGCCAATGAGGATTTGCTGTAGATATTTCAACCCTGCTGCTGTGGCTGCAAACAGCAAGCTGTGTTTTTTAACACAATTCCTAGAGTTGCCAGAATACCTTGCTTTGCTCCATGGGGTGAACCATCTAAGTTCCCTGTAGTTTCCTGCATTTGCCAGTGATATTTTTGGTCTGATCAGAAGAATCTTCCTTAAATAAAACAAAACAGAAAAACTGAGTTAACACAGGATGTACAGCCAAACAAGCCTATATATGAACACTGATTAGGAACAACTTCTTTTTTTCTTTTATAATGTAACATTTTTAAAGTTTCTTGCAGACTCAAAGGGTTTTTCTGAACTTTTCCAGAAAGCAGTGGGAATTTAGTTTCCACAAACCAGAAAAGAAAAAAATAGATCATGAGAAACCTTAGTTGTCTCTCTCAGAATTTAGCAAGTAGGAAGATAAATCCATCACTCTAAGTAGCACTGAGGAATCTTGCTTGAAGGCCAGACTGGTGTCTGAAAAGATAATGTGTTGCCTCACAAAACACATCAAGAACTACTCACTTATTTAAAAAGATCACTCGACAATTGTAGCGAACATTTCTGTGCAGAACAGGCCTGTGAAAATAAGAGCCAAAATCAGCAATGACTACATTCACTAAATGAAATTATAAAAAGCTACAGAATCTACTTTACTGCAAAAACTATTCGGAAGACCTCACTGGAGGGAATCAAGCAAAACAATATATGAAGTTTTAGCTTCTAATTTTTTAGTTAAAGTAGTAGCTAGAAAAAATCTGAGTTACTGACTGTGCTGTCAATCTCAGATATATCAATTATTACCTGAGCCTTAGGAACATGAGCACACCAGAAGATTCCCCATGGCTGGGCCAGGTTATTTAATCAAATGTGACCTCCTGTGACACTGCCAGACCAGTTCAAAATCAAACTAGCTTTACACAATTATATCAATACTAATACATTAATTTTACAGCTATAATTTATCCCCCTTCCGTGTCAGCACAAGGTTTACAATGGCTTCAGTGAGATTCACATACACTTATGTTGTCTGTCAGTGAAAGCAGCCCCCACATTCCCACAAGACAGTCAATTCCTAAAATCCTTTGAGTGACACCTCACACAAAGTCTGACCTGTGGCAATAAGTACCAGACATTAAGGTTTCCAATATATAACTGTAATTATCCTATTTCTCTCTTGAAGGGATCAGCCACCAGCTATCTTCAGAAGGATTATCTTTTAGAAAGTGTTCTGCACATTGCAGTCCTGGTCATGGTAGTTAAAAGGGGAAAAGCAGTGCAGTTCCTAAGAAATGTTTGACAGTTTGGTGCAGAGCCCTCGCTATCCAGAGCATGGCACAAGCAGCATCCCCTAAGGACTTATCCCTTTATCCCTACAAAAAAAAAAAACAAACCAAAAAACCCCAAAAAAACAAAACAAAAACAAAAAAACCAACCAACCAAACAAAAAACTTACATTCCCACATCACAGATAATATCTTGAGTGGTTGGAGACTCCAAGAGCTTTTCCAGAACTTGAAACGAATGCAAGAGTGTGTCTGACTCATAAAAGTGATCTGAGCAGCCATAACCACTGTGTATAGAAACAAGGAGAAACCAAAAATTCAGCCAGATCAGCACCAGAGCCAAAGAACCGACACTACTTCAGACAGGGAGCATTTCACCCACATAGGTAATTTATATAAAAAATGAAGAAGCAGTGCTGTCAACACTACCCCTATTTACAGCATTTAAAACTCTGCAGCGTTCTATATCAACCCATGATATTCCTTCCAGGACAGCAGGCAGAAATCAAAGGACTACAGCTCCCCTGCAGGAAAACTCACTGAAATAGGTTAAAAATTATCGCTTCCAGTCAGGTTTCCAAGACAAGAGACCCCATCCTGTTCTTTTCTTTGCCCCGACGGCCGCACGCTCCAAGCACGGCTCTGGGCACTGTAGCACCTCGGGGCCACTGCTCTTCCCGACTGTTCTTGCACAGTTCACTGGAATCGCACCAAAGCAGAGCCAGCAAAGCGCCCTTACCAGATTTCGAGCTCTGGCCCAAGCCGGTACCGGGCTCCTTTGCTCTTGGCGATGTCGATACCTGGAAAAGTGTTGGGAGCGCAGTGCGTGAAACGGGCACGGGCTGCGCTGCGCCGCCCGCCCGCGGCAGGAGGGAGGGCAGGAGGGAGGGAAGAGGCTCCTGATGGCCAGGGGCAGCCAGCCAGCCATCTCGGCACTCACTTCTGAAAATCCTCTCCAGGTTGCCCTCAAAGTCCAGAGCCCACTGGTTCAGGGCGCAGGTGGCCACGGTCACTGCCCGGCCCATGGCGGCCCCGCCGCCTTCCGCGCTGCTTCCGGGGCGGGGCCGGGCCGGGGCTGCCGGTCCCCGCTCCGGTCCCTCCTCCGGCCACTCCTCCCGGCCGCTCCTCCCCGTCCCTGCTCCGGCCACTCCTCCCGGTCCCTCCTCGGCCACTCCTCCGGTCCCTTCTCCCGGTCCCTACTCCAGTCGGTCCCTTCTCCCAGCCCCTGCTCCGGCCGCTCCTCCCGGTCCCTTCTCCCGGTCCCTGCTCCGGCCCCCGCAGCGGCCCCTGCACCGTCAGTGCTCCAAGCACGGGCTCCACGCAGAGCCGCTGCCCACCCGCGCTGTGGCTCCTCTGGCGCCGTGCGCTGCTGCACGCCCTTCCGCACTTTCCGCAGTTTTATCTCCCCAGAGCCCTGGATAACGGGAATGCAGCCTTAGCCCGCTTCTTAACCCTGCAGCTTCTTTTAAGAAGTGTCCCTCAAACCGAGTTCAGAGTGCGGGTGCTGAAGGTAACTGGAACAGGGTGCAACCTTCTGCGTGTTGTTCTCATTTCAGCATCATCCTAGCAGCTCTCGGAGTGCTGACCACAGAGAGGCTGACTTCTACAAAGTCCAATCTCCTCTCTTATGTCCCTCATCACATATTTGGCTGCTGTGAGCCACCTTACACCTGGGATTCTAACTTCTTTCTGTACTAGAATAAGAATTATTTAGGTTGGAAAAGACCTGTAAGGTCACTGAGTCCAAACATTAATCCAGCACTGCCAAGTACACCGCTACAGCATGTCCCCAAGCTCCACATACACTCGGCTTTTACCTCCAGCAATGGTGACTCCACCACCACCCTGGGCAGTCTGTTCCAATGTCTGCCAACACTTTCCATGAAGAAACTTTTTAATGTCTGATCTAAACAAGCCTTGGCACAATTTGAGGCCATTTCCGCTTTTGTCGCTTGTCATTTGGGAGAAGAGCGTACAGGCTACAGCCTCCCTTCAGGGAGCTGTAGAGTGTAACATTCCTTCCTTGAGCCTCCTTTTCTCCAGGCTGAGACCTCCATCCCCCCTTCCTCCTCCCAGATCCATTCCCTTCTCTGGACACACTCCAGCAACTCAATGTCTTGAATTAAGGTGCCCAAAACTGACCCCACAATTCAAGGTGGGGCCTCAGTGGTGCCCAGAATAGGGGGATGGTCACTGCCCTGGTCCTGCTGGCCACACTACTGCTGACAATGCCAGGATGCCATTGTCCTTCTTGGCTCCCTGGGCACACCTGGGCTCGTGTTCAGCAGCTCTCGGCCAGCATCCCCCAGGTCTTTTCCTGCGGGACCATTGGAAATCGCACCGAGCGGTCAGCGCAATGTGGAGAGCTTAATAACGCCTCAAGGCAGCCCAGTCTGTCTTAGGGGCTCCATGTTGTGACCCGAGTGCAGATGTAACCTATTTCCCTGGACACCATTCACCCTCCATCGGTGCTCTGGGGTTTATTCGGTGCTCTGGAGTTTATTCGGCGCGCTGGGGTTTATTCACTGCGCTGGGGTTTATAGGTGCGCTGGGGTTTATTCACTGCGCTGGGGTTTATCGGTGCGCTGGGGTTTATTCGGTGCTCTGGGGCTTATTCGGGGCGCTGGGGTTTATTCGGTGTGCTGGGGTTTATTGACTGCGCTGGGGGTTTTTCGGTGCGCTCGCTCCCGCCGGAGCGCAGGTCCCTGGGCAGGGGGCGGGGCCCGCGACCCTCGCGCTCCTCGGCCCATGGGACGAGCGCGCGCCACCAATGGGAAGCCGCGGAATGGGCGGAGCGCTGCGGGGATTGGCTGAGGCCGTGGGGCGGGGGCGGGGCCCGGAGGGGCCGATGCCGCCTGAGGAGCCGCAGGTGCGACAGAGGCGGAGCCAGGGTGGCCCGGGTGGTCGTGGGGAGCGGAGTGAAAGTGATCCCCGATCAGTAATCCCCGATCAGTGATCCCCCATCAGTGATCCCCCGTGAGAGAGCGGCCCCGGCCCCGCAGGTGAGTGCGTTCCTTCCTTACCGTGTCTGGGATCAGGCCTGGAGGGGAGCGACGAGCCGCCTTCCCCTCACATCGCTTCTGAAAAGAACCCACGGGGGGAGGACTGAGGGAAATGGCCTAAAGGCGAGGCAGTGGAGATTGAGGTTTGATGCGAGAGAGTTTTTTGTTTCGCTGTTGGTGCGGTCAGGCGTGGGAACAGGTTGCCCAAGAGGAGGTGGGTGCAGAGGGTAGGGCCTAATTGGATAATGGGTTAATGGAATTATTATCCATCAGATAACGGATCGGGTTCACCGTGATGAGGCACATAGAGCTGGGACGTCAGTCCATAGTGCCGATTATAGGGTGATGATCTTTAGCATAACAAGTGTTTGATCAGAATGAAAGAAAGCAACAGTGCATGTTCCACAGAGCTGGGTGGTGCCGAGTAAATCATTCTCCATTCCCACTGATTTTTTTACTTAGATGGGATTATGTCTTGTTTTCTATGGTGTAAATGGCATATATGGAGCAAGGACTCTGGGCAAAAGTATCCAAATGACAAGGTCTCGTCTCTCATATTACAGCAGTAGCAATTTCTCAAATTAAAAGAGGCAGTTAAGTTACAAAGGTTTAGGACAATGTGGTGAAACTTTTTTTTTTCCTTTTATATCTACATGTAAGTAATAAGCAATTTATTATCTATGCACCTTAAAAGAAATTTCCAGTTAGTGAGAAGTTTAATGGATTACTTTGATATCAGTGTTTTGATTAGGTTTTGCTGAATGTAAGCTCATAGGGAATTACTTAGTGAAAATTTTTTGCTTCCTGTCCTCCACCCCTAAATTTTGTGTGGTCTGAAGTCTACAGAATAGATTTTACTAACTTTTATTTGTGTTTCTCTTGTAGAGGTACAAGAATTATTGAGAACCAGCTGGAGTAATGGGATTCATATTTTCTTTCCTACAGGACATTATGGGAGCCCATCAGGAGAAAAAACTTGTTGAAGAAAGAAAATACCAAAACATGCAAAATGATACTAAAACATCTCAAGGCCAGTGGGGAAGAGCCTGGTGAGAGAAGTCAATTACCCCAAGTAGTCCTTGTATTTCCGATTGCTTCATTCTTACTCTTAAAGATGCTGTATTCCTTTTAAACTTCCCTCTGTTAGTAACAGATTTTTGTGTTGCCCTGCTCTGGAAACTCATGGGTAATTTGCTGTAGCAACAGGTGCTGAAGAAAAGTTCTTCACTTTTTTTAAGGCAGAGAGTTTGCCAGACGGTTTGGGTTAAAACACACACCTTGCAAAAAAGAAAAGCAAATCATAAAAATTGGTAAAATTTCTGTTTTTTTCAAGGAAATAAATATTTCCTGAGGTTTGGAAAACAGGTGTTCTGGCATCTGTGGCTTTCCCAGCTGACAAGTCCTGCTGTAGCAAGATCTATGACTCATGTCCCAGTTCCCAAAGAGTTGGGCAGGTATTAGTAGGGCATTGTACTGCAGCTGGGAGCAGCAACAGTGGCACAGGACATTCAATGTATGGCTGTCCAAGGTCTGTCTTTTCCAAGTTTCCAAGCTTTGCATAATGTTCTTGGGATTCCATCATCACTTCCAACTGAATACTCCACCAGTTAGAGCCATGATTGCCATCAAAAAACGTGAAGTCTGTAATAATAATCTGGTTTTTGGAGGGGAGATTTTATCTAATCTCTTGCTCTGATCAACTAGCATAGTTTTAGAGCAGTTTGTGGCAAAGTATGTTCCTTGCTGAGCTTTCTATGGCTGTTTGACCCCCAGACATGTCTGTGCCCTGAGCACATTTCCAGTTTTCATCCTGTTAAGTCTAGAAGGTGCACTGAAAAAACTGTCTGATATAACTCATCTGTGTGAAACCTGGGGAGACAAAATGCTCTGTTTTGGATTACAGGGAGGTGGACTGGTTTTCCTTGGCAAGCATCCTTTTCCTGCTGATGTTTGCACCACTGATTGTGTATTACTTCATCATGTCCTGTGACCAGTACCAATGCTCTCTGACTGATCCACTCCTGGACTTGCTGACTGGGAAGAAACATCTGTCTGACATCTGGAACAGGACTCCCATGCTGACCTACAGGGCTGCTGCCATTTATTCCCTTTGGGTCACTTTCCAGGTACATTACTGACCTATGATCTGGATGCAGTGTCTGCTTTCTCCCACAGCTGTTGGATGAATCCTTTTACACAAAGGTTGCACTGGCATTTACTCTTTGGTGTTTCACAATTTCCAAGGTGTTTTGGAATCCAAGTGAAGCCTATGTACTTGGAAAATAAGTATAATGGGAATATACAGAAATATTCCTTGTGTGACATATTCCTTAATGAGGTTTTTAAGCAAAAGCAGCTATATAACAACAATACCCATTTGTTTTAAATTAGTACACAAGAAATAAATCAAAGGGCAAGGATCTGAATGTAGTTACCAACTGTCCTACCTCCCCACCAAAAGAGGATTACAGCCTCACATGAAATACATCTTTAGAGCTGTAGAGTAGCTTAGATGTATTACTGGCCTAAAAGCACAACAGCTAAATATTGCCATTTTGGCTTACCCAATACTTACTAGAAACTTAGGAGAAATGTTATATTTGGTATTAATGTGTGAGGGGTTTTGTCTTGGCTGTACTTACTGTGAAGACATTCTCTCTCTTTTAGGTGTTTTTGTATGTGTCCATTCCTGATTTCTGCCATAAATTTCTGCCTGGATATGTGGGAGGTGTACAAGATGGTGCTGTCACCCCTGCTGGTAAGGTTTTCCTTGGAATACATGCACACCATGCAATCTTCTGAAATCAAAGTATTTCTGTTCTTAGAGTCTTTAATAACCCACATGTAACCAGAGGAAACATGGACATAAATGCTCTTACCTTCCTCACATGTTCAGTTCAAACAAAACTAGAAAGCAATCTAGATCATCTGTTAGAATAAATCTGGCAGCCTCAATGTCACAGATACACCCATCCTAAAAATAGTTAGACTGTTCAGAAGTGTTACCAAGAGTAAACTTGGGCACCTCTGAAATTCTACAATTTAAGTCTGTTAATGTAATACTTTGGTCGGGTCAGTTTGTGTTACCTTGCACAACATTACATGGTTTTATGATTTTTATTATCACTACATTCTTAATCTGAATTGTGCATTTCTATCTCTTATAATTAATAAAACTTCTGATCTGGTAGGCATCACATCAGCAATGGAAAAGTACTGGTTGATAGTTTTGGCACTTAAAATTGTCAGTGGACTGTTGCTGGTATTTGACAAGATAGTTTTACCTGCTCAAGCTCCATTAACCCAAGGGACTTGGACAAAATGTGTGATGTGAACTGTTACTGGTGGCTTGTTACTCTAGTCAGCTGTGGTGAAAGTCTAAATTGAGTTTTGTGAGGAGAAAAACTCAGCACAACAAAG